TTCACGTTCAGTACCTTTGGGTTAAAATATTAATAGAGATCGGCGCATGCAATAAAAAAAAATATTAGCATCATCGAGAGATTATTGACAGCAGCTGAAAAAGATGTGTCCGCAGATACAATTAGGAAATCATCTGCATATTGAAAAATATGAGTTTCGTCATCTTGAAGATCATACAAAGAAGCTGTGTCCATCACCAACACACGCTTGGATAAAAAATTAAGGGTCCACAGCTGTATTTGAACACGAATCGAAAAGTTTAAGAGAATTCTGCCAGGCTTAATCAAATTGACACAGTCATAAGCTTTGCTGATGTCCAGGGAAAGCAAGACAACCATTTTACCTGTTTTTTTTAAGCTGGCTATGAGAAAAGATAGTTCGTTCGTTAACACACGTATTGGTAGATTTGCGTTTTTGGAAGGCGTAAGAACGAGCTGGAATAATGTTCTCAGTTTTCAAGAAATCACTAAGTCTCTCCTTAACCCTGATGTTGACAGTCTTTATGAATAGAGATATTAATGAAATTGGTCTGAAGTTACTTAAATCATTTAAGTCTTTAGTTGCGTTAGGAATGGGAACAATTTTGATGCATCGGAAATCTGAGGGTATAAAGTTAGTGGACTAGCAGTTGTTAATTGCATCCAAGAGAGTGCTAAAGCTTCAGACAGTGCTCTGGGCATGTCACACTTAACTCCACCACAACCTGCAGCAGTGGCCCTTTTTCAGGAATGTAAAACATACATTAGCTCATGCAATGAAAAGGGTGTGTTGTTGAGACTACTAAAAGGAATTGAAGGTGTTGTAATCGGATTGACACTTGGAATATATCTCTTGAGCATATGTAAGTATATTTTATTATCATGGTCATTCCACACAGCATAACCGCTTCATTTTCGACTGATTTGTCGATGACCATTGATGTAATTCCAAAAAAAACATGAGTTGCCGTTACCACATAACTCTTTAAGCTTGAACCGTCCTTTTCGCTTTTCTAACGGCAGGCGTCCATTCTTTCAGTGTTTTCATATATTCACTAAAGGTGGCTGGATTGGCACATGACAGACTGAAAGGCACTTTGAAATGGCGATAAATTGGAAGGAAGATCAACTTTAGACAGATGGTCCATAAGAAAGTTGCATGAAATGAAATTTTCTATTTTCTTAACGGAATTGTTGCGACTGTGAAATAAAATGGGAGAATGCTGATTTTTGTCAATGGAGACGTTTGTCGTATTTCAGTTAAATGATAAAATAGTTGAATTCAAAAATGTTAGGTCCTAGACTCTGCTCGCCATGTGACCACTCCGGTTACAGTGAAAGGTAGTATTGCCATTATTTAAGACACTGAAATTGCTGTAATTGATGGCATTTACAAGGATCTAGCCTTTGTTGATGGAGACTTGATCGCCATACAAGCAATGTCTTGCATTGAAATCTCCAGATCGAATCACAATTTGCTCGCCGTCAAGAATGTCGCATAATCTCTGAATCTCATCACGAAACGGTTGTACATCGAGACAGGGTGGAAGGTAGCATCATGTTATGAAATCACTCGGTTTAAGATTCATGGTTTTGATGATGATAATGTCAACAGCAGAGTTGTAAGGAATACATTTGAAATTGACAACTTTCTTAACTAGTATGCTAAGACCACCGTAGCCATTATTTCGGCATTTGGCGGCTGAAGCACAATTCGAAAGTTTACCTTCGAAACAATTTTCATCCCTCAGAAAAACCTCGTTTGAGATACATACATCAGCCTTATTTGAGTTCAAGTAAAAATCCAAAAACGACAGATTACGTTGATCACTTTGGATATTGTATTGTAAAAACATAATATTTAAACTTGAGAAGGAACCTCGGCTGACTTCAACGGGGCGAGAATTGGCACAGAAAGACATTCGTTGTTCAAATTCATTAATAAGATTATGAGGGATCATCGGACGGATATTTTCTTTCGCAGAGATTAATCTTTCAAGTTCTGAGACACGCAAATAATTGTTTAAAATTACTGGAGGCCGAAGACTTGTTCCAGACGGCTTGGGGGGTGAATAGAGAGAAAACTTGGTGGGTGAACTGAGAGGAGATGTGGAAAGAACCGATTTCCTTTTGACAACAGCATTAAATTTATTTTGGGTTAAAATATTATTGGCATTTTCATTGTCTTTCTTACTCGAAATGGCAGACGCGCTACCCAATCGAGGGAAATTATCGTCGTAGGAGATGTCGTCAAGACATTCGAAGTAATTTGAGGAAAATTTCTCTTTATGCGAGAGATTTTTAATTGCCATGATCCAGTTAATATTTAATTCAAGTTCCCTGTTCGGGCAAGATTTGTTGAAAGTGTTGTGCTCACCTGAACCACAGGACAAACGCTTCATCTTCTCACAGTTCACACACTTCGGAGACTTCCCACAGTTCAGGCATCTGCTCTCCTTAGGTTTACAAAATTTTGAAACGTGACCGTATCTACCGCACTTAAAGCATTGCTTTAAGTTTGGTACAAAGTACTCCACTGGTAGATGAGACTAATTGAATTTAATTGACTTAGGGAGGGCTTTCCCTTTAAAGCCGATTTTGATGCTGGTTGTAGGAATACCCTCATTCTTGTTGTTGGGATTCCTTCTTTGAAAACGGACAGCGGACTTGATCGGAATATCGGACACGGCGTTTTTAATTATCTCGTCTACATTGTATATACATGGGATGTTTCGAATGACACCAAATCTCTCGGTGAACGACCTCGGTATGTACGCCTTTAAATTCTTTTTAGTGAAATCGTTATTTGTGACAAAGTGGTTGGCATTGGCAGCAGAGCTGAAAGGCAGTTTGGCTCTGCCCGTGCTAACAACTTTTAGTTCTTGCAAGCCATACATGGTGAAATCCTTCAGGTAATCGTAAAAAGAAATGGTAATTGAAATTCATACGATTCCCTTCGGCGTTTGCGCACATTTCGACAAAAACAACAAAATTGCATTTCGACGAGCAGTCGTACAAATTGATTTCGTGATTTGGGGCGGCTCTGGCACCCAAATCAGAGAACTTGTGGACCGCCTGTTTACTATGCACAATTGAAACATTTGCGTTAGCTTCTTCATTAGGAGATAAAAGAGTTTTATTCTCACCCATCCTCGATCTCTTGGTGTGCCCAGTGGCGTTCATATAAAAATCTTCGAAACAGTCCCCATCAGCGGTTATAAGATCATACCCAGTCTCCATGGGGTGACGGGCTGATGTTGTATTGCCTGTTATCACGGGGAGCAACAACAAAAAATCAGAACGAAAAAAAAAATTGATATATATGTTTCTCTTTTTTTTCTCACACTTTCTTCTTCTTCCCACTCCCTTTTTCCTCCCTTAAATTTTTTTTCTTTTTTTTTTTAAATTTGGTTATTTCTTTTTCTTTCTTTCTATTTTTAAATTATTTAAATTCGCGTATATTTTTCTTTATTTTTTTTTATATATATACATTTTTTTTCCACTAACACCAGTAAAACACAAAAATTATTCAACTGCTGTCTGTAGAGATGTATCAAGTGTGTGTGAAACAGGAATGTGAAGCGAAAATGTTTATTTTATAAATTAATTTGCAAGAACTATTTCGTTTTATTGTCCGTAATTTTAATTAAAGTGAAAAAAACCATGAAAAAAAACTCCCTTTCGTTTTTTTTTTTGTTTTATTGATATAAATTGGTCTCACTCCGTTTAGTGTAGATGAAGGAAACGAAAAATTCTTGAAATAAAGAAACACAAAACAAAAAGAAGAAAAAACGCATATGACAAAAAACGATAAGCCATACCTCCCTGCAAATTTGGCAACGCAATTAAAGCTTATTTAGCCAAGTAATGCAGGCGAGTCAATAGCACCATTTATTACTTTGATTATGAAGGAAACGTCAAGAACAAATCTACGTTTTTCGAGAAACGGTAAGGACAACAGAAGCAACCTATTTTCATAGGGAGTAAGAGAGGCAATCGGATCCCAACCCAAATTTCTAAGGGTAAAGAGCAAGAATTGCTTTTGAACAGATTCAATTGAATCTACGTAGCACCTGTATGAAGGAGAGCACACAACTGAGGCATACTCGAGTATGGGTCTAACCAAACAGCTCTTTGGCCCACCTTTTTATAAAACCAACCGCGGACCTAGCTTTGCTTAACGAGAGCTCAATGTGCAAGTTGAAACAACCTATGGTCAAATAGAACGCCTAAATCTATGATCGAATCGACTTCCTGCAACTTATGCGAATCTATGAAATACTGACTAATGAATGCCTTTCTTCTTGAGAAAGAAAGCTTCTTACACTTATTCAGATTTAGTTTCAGAAAATTCAAAGAGCACCATGAAACAAAATTATTCAAGTCACTGATATGATTGCAATTCTACGGGAAAGGAAGAAAACAGTTTTACATCATCATTAAGATCTGGATGGATTTACTCACCGAGGGCAAATCATTAATGTATCAACAGCCGCACAGCAGCGATCGTGTTTATATTTATTCATTTCGTAGATATATACCTTTTATCCGTTCATATATTATGTACGTATATTATGTATAAACGGGGATTTTGTTTATTTATTATTTTTATTGTAAATGTTATTATAGTTTTAAGTTAAGTTTATAATGGTGTAGGCCTACAGGGGAGCCAGCCATTTCAAACAATTGGCAACGCGCCTATCAACCTCAAGGTTGATGAGAAAAACCGTGTCTGTCAGTTGCATTGATTCTGTTTTGATTCTGTTGATTTTCAAACATTTTTAAGGAAAATACAAGAGAAAAATTGTCACTTTATCGATTTAGGTTTCCGAAAAAAGTTTTGCAGTCGTATTTCCGATTTTAACATATAAGCAGACTGACATCGTTTAAATTTCTTTCGCTATATGTCCTATGCTACATGGGCACAGTTAAAGTGAATTCTATAGAAAAATATCTGTATGTTAGAAAGATTGGGGGAAGTTTTTTACATTCGTTGTGGACGTAGTTTCATTTAAAGCTTACCGAAGGCTGCTCCATTTCACCAATATGTTCTACGCGTTGTTTCATTGTGGACTTTTTTCAAGCTATTCCTATCGTTTTGCGACATACATATGTGTGTTCTCTTAAAAAATCTCGCTGTCACCTGTAATGCCGTGTCTTTGCGAAGCAACGCGTAGAACTTATTGGCGACATGACCGGTTCGCTTAGTATGTGCGTTAGATGAAGTATTAAAAATGCATAAAAAGGAATTCGGTTATCAAATGCGTTCGCATGCTTTGGGTGCTAAGAATAGAACTGAAGTCGGACAGTTGATTCCTTACGTTGAGGTCAATACTTTAACAAATAAGCAAACAAAAAGCAAATGAATAACGTTTAAAAATTTCTAGCTGATTATGAAGGGCGATTGGTCTTGGATTATATGCCATGGTGAAGATAACAGTTTTCGTAACCAATGCTACAGGGCCTGTAAATATTTATTGGCTTTGGAGGGAGACCAATGTGAACAGAAGGGCGAAACTTTTGAAGTAGAGAAAACCCAACTAACCTTTAAAAATTTCGTTTCAAAATTGCGGGCAATGAGCCATGCGATTGAAGTAAAAATTCTTATGATATTTCCTATGAAATGTGCAGTTAAATTTGGTATTTACAGTTAAAATGCAAAAATAATGAATAGTAGTATCCTTGCCTAACGAATTTTACTAAGTTCTTAATGAATATAGTGTCTTTTGGAAAGCAGATCATACGTGACAGTGTTGGAAATCAAAAGCGCTCTCGACTGCGACATTCGCACTATATTTCAGTACGGATATCCAAGTTTTTATTCGCTAATTATAGCCGACACCGATATCTTTAATGCTGGTTCCATTCCCACGCAGGACAAAGCAGTGGTTACACTCGTTAAGAATACTGAAAGTAGTTTTGTAATGACGTAAACACATAAACGTGGAAATTCAAAAATAAATCCTTTCATAGTGCATTTGAAAGCCTTCCCAAACAATAAAGCTCTCTTTGATTCTTTGAAATTGCCCTTCAACAAACAAAAAGCCATGCGCTCTGCTCACATACCTCTAAGTGAACACAGTACCCATCGCTCACCTGCAAACCATCAAAAGCCGCCATCAGTCAAGGCTCGAACTCTGCCGAACGATGTTGACTATACGAGAGTTAGGGCAATAATCATGGCGTCATTTAGCACAATGTCATCGAAGGGTCGTCAGATACGTCCAAGCTATGCCGTCAGTTAAAATATTCGCAATGCCTGTGACAACATTTGGAAAGGGCACGATTACCGTGCGAGCTGGTTCGTAAACGAGAAAAATTAAAAGCCGCTAATGATAAAGTTTGCGAGCACGTGTTACAGTTGAATCCTTTGAATCTGTTCTAACCAAATTAGTGCAATTTTTAGAATTTTTTTCTTTAGATTTTAAAAGGAGCTATAAAAAAAACACGAAAGCAAACATATAGTGGGCTCGCAATTAAATATTTTACTTAAGATAGTTTTCTGAATAACGACTATTCAAAATGAGATGCTGCATGGGACGTGACCAGATAAGTGTTCCGATCCGAACCATTTTCAGTAGTGTTGGTTCTTTGGCCAAATTATGTCGATACAACAAATTCTAGCGAAATATCTCAAAAATTCAACCCTGTGAAAAAGGGCAAGGCTGACAAACGGCCGATCGGTATAATAAAGGATGGGTTTTTTTATTGAAAATCACGATAGGATCCGAAGCCTACATACCTTAACTTTTTTGAACTTTGGATAGCTAGTTAATCTAGATGGAAACAAAATTTCCTCTGCGAGTGTCATTATCTTGTCCCTGAAATTCGTGAGTAAGTAAGTAAGATTTTTCATATTTCGTTTGAAATCAAATCTTCGTAAAAATTAAATCCTTTTGCCTTAAAAAAGAGGAATTTGCATAACGGTTCTTGTATGTTCTAGGAAGAACGTATATTAACTTTTCGATCCTCACTACGCGTAAGGATTCACATGAGAACTAAGCCTTCATACGCTGAAAAAAATTAATATTGAATTTTGGTCCGTACTATTAATTTGATGTAGATATTAGCTGGAGCAAGTTTGGAGCATGTAGATCTATTTTTTGGAGCCAATCCCTTATAAAGGCTTCTATTTTATCATATGAAGAAAATAAGTGGACAATTATATCGGTTGAAGAGGTTTAAAGTATTTGACCGTCCGCTTTGCCCGATTATAATGTTCGCATGCGTTCTTTTATATCCATCCCCCAAGGAAGAGGGCACGACCGTCTATCCGCCCGTCTCCATAATGTCTCTCATAAGCATTTTCTTGGCCGTAGAAATGCAACTTTCGGCTTCAATTTGGTAGAAACATTGGAAATTGTTGTACGCAAATTAGTTTGAAAGTGAGTGAAATCGGTCGAAGGACACGCCTGCATTATTACCCAAAGCGAGGATACTTCCGTTTTTCGAAAGGAATAACATATAACCATCGTATATTTTACGAGCGACTTTAGTATGTGCATTAAAATGGCCACGCCTACCCAGTGTTATATAGTACATCAAAGTTTTATTTTGTGTTCAATGCCTTTATAACGCGCAGAAAAAAACTTTAAACGCCATATGGAGAATATAAATTCTTAGCTAATGCCATCTACGCATATGCGTGTGTTCGTCTGTCCATCTGTTCAACTGCCCAATTACGTAGTATTTTTGGTAAAAATTCTCCCATTCGCAACTATGAAAAATTTACGAAAGATTTTAAAAATTACTCAAACCCACCCGCCTGTGTAACAAAAACTCTGAATATCTTTGCTCTCCGGGTTTTTTGCTTGTTGCTTATAAAGTACAACACGTACGTCACGTAAATTTCCACTTTTATTCCGAAAATAGAAAAATTCAACCCCGCGCATCCCATATTATAGAGTAAGAAAATTTTGTTACCTTAACTTTTTTTAGGATCACGGTAAAGGGTATAAAAAATTCTTAGTTGATTGTTCTTCTTTACGCGGAGAGAGTCTGCAAATATACAGAACGGAATGATCATATAAATGTACATGAGGATTTTATCTATTATTATTGTTAAAGAAGAGAAAAAAAGACTATTGAGACTTATTTTCACCAAGCGTTTAATGAGAGCCATAGTTGTCAGCCGAGTTGCGCGGCTGAAGGGCTTTTCTTGATTAGATTTCTCATTCCGTGCATATCTACGAAATGCAGCGAAAGATTGCAATTAAAACTGGGCATTACAGTTATCTTCTGCTCACATTTTAAAGAGTAACGAAAAAATTAGGGATTCTTGCATTTCATTTTTTTCTCTCCAGTATTTTCATCTTCCAAAAATACTAATAGTTTTTTGTAATATCCTAAAAGTATATAGCTAAAAGTATATAACCGCACTGCGACGGTTAAAAAGTGTATCTCTTACAACAAATGTCATCAAGTTTCGAATATTTACAAGATATTTTTATGAACGTAAATAACGCTTTGTCTGACGACGTAGCACAAAGGTCTACTAAGTTTGCGCGGATATGCCTTCGTAATAGCTCTTAATTTTATTTTAATTTCTTTTATCTTTTTATTATCTTTACAAACAATAGTCCCATTGTGGGTGTTGACTTTCGTGATTATAAGAGCAAATAGTAAAATTTGCACTACTTTTGCTTTTGTGCTTGGTGCATGATTTTTTTGATATTTAAGAACTTAATATTTGCCTGCAACGATAGGCGTAAATCGAATAGGCATTCTATCTTCTATATACGTATATCTTTTTCATAACTCCAATATGTTGTAGCATGCAAAGCAGCTCAAAGGGCCCCTAACGTTATCTAACTAGCTCGCCGAAAATTGGGGGGTTCCTGAAAGTGATTTTGCCCTATAGAATCTTTATAAATTTTTAAGGTGTAAGTGAATGTGTAGTGAATGTGCGTGTGTTAACTACTTCGCCAGCTTACTGAAATATTGTGACCGTATTACCAGCGGGTGGAATCTTAACAAAAGTGCCCTCCTTGAAACTGTACACTACAAAATTGAGAACCACATTAGTATTGGTGGGTGTTAGAACTTTGGTTATTTCTTCGCCAAGTTCAGCTTCTGTCAGCTCTAGTTGATCGTCCGGTTTAAGTAGTTGACGCGACTTAATCCAGGCATCAAGGTCATCAGCATCACCAGCTCCTTCTCCTCCCGAAGATTTTCCTTTACCAGCCCCCTTTTTTCGCCAACTTTGCAGCAGATTTGCCTTTAGGCGTTAGTTTGTCACCTCCGGCAAGCTTTACAGTTTTGTCAGCGATTGTGGTTTTTGAAGATTTATCGTTTGGTAGAGTGATTTTGGCTTTCTTTTCCGTCCTTTCCATTATTGATAATTGACGTAGTGTTTTAATTTGATGACAAACTTATATTCAATGGCGTTGGATTCCTTTAGTGAAGATGATTAAAAAAATAAACTCAAAACCAAATAGTTGCGATAGCAGTCTTGCTGGGTTAAATTAAAAATTTTTGCAGTAGTCTTCCAAAAAACTTTTCTTTTTTCCTTTTTTGAATTTACGCGAATTTAAAAAAAATTTTACAATATATCGAAAATTTTGTTTCAAAAAAATTCGTAAATCAAATTATCACAGTTTTTATTCCAACTTAAAAAAAGTCTTTCTTTATATTGTTATACACATTTTTTTTTTAAATTTTTAAATTTACTTTTTTTCATTTTATTTATTTTTACTGAACTGAACAAAATCCAAAAATTGAATCATCAAAAAAACGTTCCCAACAAAAAAGAAAACTTGACATCCCAAAAAAAAAATAAAACCAACGCCTACTTGTTTTCCTACAATGTCTGACTATTGCGAACGAAATAGCAAGCATAGTTTCGGCTCGCTGAGAATAATAAAGTAAAATAAATACGCACGCGTTAGAATAAATTCATCAACCCGAAAGAATGCAGAGCCATATAATTATATGAGTTGTCGCCAGAACGCTTGACGACTTCAAAGCAGTGCATAAAAATTTATGAAGCATTTGTTAATTACGAACACGTCGATTAAACGATGGGAATCTTTTTATACTTGCTGCAGGAACGCTACAACATTCCTAGA